ATTCCCCCAAGACCCCTTCCTCCTACTCCCTCTCAACACAACCAAACACCCTTAATTCCGTCCACCACTGATATCCATCCTCCCGATACCCACCCTCCTGAAGTCCATCCCCCTCTTACTGATAGCACCCCTACACCCTTTACTATACCTTCCTATAGTGATATATGACCTTAGATGTCTAGCACATTTATTTCACTTTTAACCATTAACCATTTGGCCACCCTGCAAAGCACTGTCGGCCCACAGCCCGCTGCCTACTATGTGCTCAACCTTGTCATGAATGTGCAAACTGCCCTGCACAGTCACGTACATGTGCTAATTGTGGTGGACCTCATAATGTATTCTATAGAGGCAACTCAGATTCAAACTAAGAGTCTACGAGAGGCCAGGTAAGAAGCATGACGGAGAATTTTTTCAATTACTATTTACTCCAGTACCTTACATCAGTCCACTCCCATCCACTCTACCCAAGTGGTCCATACATCTACAGCACCACTTTCCCCTGCTCCTCAACTTTCCATCTCTAATTCTCTTATCTCCCAATCAAATCCTTTTTCCATCCTAAATCCAGACACTCCAATATCCACAACTTCCCCCATGTATCTTCCTATTTCACGCCTTACCTATCGTATCAGACAACCCAAACGCCCCACCCCATCTTCTCCTACCAGATCCCATTCCACACCTACACCCTCAAATTCTCAGATACCGATCTCCTCTTCACTTCCCTATAAAAGATCCTTCTTTTCCCAAACCTCCCCATCCAACCCCCCCCCCTGAAACCCTTGAGGACATAAGAAAATTTCTATGTATGACACAAGAGAAAGTTCCTCCCTCTCTACCATCCATCAATTTCTCTACCCAGATCCCGGCTGCATTCACAGTGACTGTCAAAATCCATCCTCCCCCTCCTGACATCCCCCCTACCCCTCTTCCTCCCACACCTCCCAAACACGCCCTATCCACTCCCCCACCCGTATCCAAACCAAAAGCCCTTCCTTCCCAACTATCCCTACCACTCTCTTGGATGCACACGTGAATCCCTTCTAGCACAATGTCCTTCCCCAGATCCCACCTATCTTGATGAACCTCCAGATACTATCCCTTCACCTTTTCCCCCTGATCCCTCCTCCCATGATTCTCTTGATACTACACTGCGACCTCCATCCCCTGATCCCATACCTCAACCCCCAGACACCCCCTCCTCTTACCTCTCAGACATCCATTGCAACCCATAATAGCTGTTGAATGATCCACAATGGCTCTGCTGCAGTGGAACAGTAAAGGCATTCGCTCACACAGACTTGACCTCCACCATCTTCTTTCCTCTTACAATCCATTTGTCGTACGCCTCCAAGAAACCTTACTCACACATCCTCCAGTACCAATTCCCAACTACCATTTTGTGTCACTCCCTCATTCTATATTTGCCTCTCCCACACTTTTCCACCATATATCATACCTCCTTTACAAAGCACCATACCTTGCACAGTTATCCAGATTTTCCTCTGCCGCTGGATACTTCTCTCCTTCCCTCCCTATTGACATTTTAGAATTTGAGACCTTACTTTCCCAATCCCAACCCCCTTTCCTTATAGTTGGAGACTTTAGCTGTCGCCATACCCTCTGGGGTGACTATTATTAATACCTGGGGCCGCCCCGTAGAACAATTTCTAGCTAAAACTGACCTTATCCTCCTAAATTCCAACAGTCCCACTCACTTCAACATACGCACTCAATCCTTTTCATGCCTTGATGTCTCTCTTTGCTCTCCTACCCTTCATTTAGACTTCCACTGGTCTGTCTTAAACTCTAGTAATCACTTCCCAATTCTTCTTTCTTCAACATCCTATATCCCGCTCCCAAACCCTCCTCACTGTGCTTTGACAGAGCAGACTGGAATACCTTTACCTCTCTACTCTTGAACTTCCTCCATCATCCTTCTCTACCACCTCAGTAATGCTCCAATACTTCACAACTAACGTTCTAAATACAGCTTATATAACTATCCCTCGAACCTCCCGACTTTACACCTCAAAAAGTGTTCCACGGTGGAACCTTGAATGTACGAAAGCGCTTTGTTTAAAGCGCACAGCTTGGAGTAGCTATCAACACAAGAAGGCACCCCAGTCAATTAACAACCTTCATATCCTTTAAAAAAGCATTAGTCCACCTTTACCGTACAATCCGTAACTCCATGACAAGAAGGTGGCAAAACTATGTATCCTCCATAACATCCTCCAAACCAATCTCTGCAGTCTGGCGGCGGATCCATAAATTATCCGGAAAACATCCTCATCCTGCCTCCGTCCTCCATATTCATAATAACCTCATCTCTGACCCTCTTCAAGTAGCTACTGAACTTGGTGCCTTTTTAGCCAAGTTAGTAATGGCTATCATCTTTATCCTCACTTCTCTTCCTTAAAATCAGAGCGCACTCCTATCTCCTTCTCCCTGTCATCTACAGAATCTTATAATGAACCCTTTTCTTCTTCTGAAATCTATAATGCAATTCAGTCGTGCCGCAATACCCATGAAGGCCCAGGCGGTATACATTACCGTAAGCTATGACACCTTTCTCCTACTTCCATATCCTTCCTTCTTTCAATATTCTATAACATGGACGACTGGAAACTCTCCTCCCCACTGGAGAGAAGCCATAGTACTACCCTTCCTGAAACCTAACTAAACAGGTACTCCTCCCCAAGACTACCGCCCCATAGCCCTTACAAGCTGCCTATGCAAATTAATGGAAAGGATGATAAATTTCAGATTAATGTGGTACCTAGAATACCACAAAATCATTTCACCAAATCAATTTGGATTTCGTCCCGGCAAAAGCACAGCTGACCCACTAGCCCAGGGGTCGGCAACCTTTTGAACAAAGTGTGCCAGTTTATGATTAATGCCTTCTTATTCGTAACTTTTCGTGTCAGTTTTATTTCGGCATTGTATACCCCAATGTATTTTCCTACACTTACATAACATAAATATAATATTTTTGTGGCATTTAGTATTTTTTGTAACAAAAAAAATGTTTTATGATTTTAGATTTATACTCACCAAATTAGTATCTGGGCACGCTGAGCTTTAAACAACACTCCTTTGTAATCCTGCTGTAATGGGGGCTGAGGGTATGCAGCCAGGGTGAAAACATCTACATTGGTATGTAGATCCAAATGCTGATAGCAATGCCAAGGCTACTTTCTTCATGCAACTGAATTCATCAGAAAGTGGTGTCTGGGACCTTAATATGGAGGCTGCATGATCATTCACAGTAGTTTGCAATATTTCTCAATCTTAAAATTTAGCTGACCATAATACAGACACACACTCTCTCTCATATGATTTTGCTATTTAACTTTTTTCTTTGCTCCTCTGAATCACATGTCATGCCATAGACAAGCCCTCTGCGTACCAAGTCTGGCACTGGTGCCAAAGGTTGCCGACCTCTGCACTAGCCAATGTAGAAACATTAATCACATTAGCATTTGCACGCCACGAGTCAGTATTATCTGTCTTTTTCGATCTCGAAAAAGCATATGATTCTACTTGGCGGCACCATATACTACAACACCTATCTCTCCACGGAATACGTGGAAACATGGGTGTTTTTATAAAATCCTTCCCCTCTGACCGAACCTTCCGTGTCAGATTTACCTCTTCCACTTCCTCCTCTTTTCCTCAATTTGAAGGTGTCCCATAAGACAGTTTACTAAGCATCACACTGTTCCTAATAGCTATTAACAGATTAGTTTCCGCTTTACCACCAAGAATCCGTTTATCACTGTATGTAGATGATCTAGCCATCTTCGCCTCTGGCCTTTCCATAAAATCTCTCCATCAACTTATCCAGTCGTCAATAACATCAATCTCTTCCTGGGCTACCAACAATGGCTTTTGTTTCTCTACCCCTAAAACTTTCTCCATCAATTTTCTCTCGTTCATGTATAGGCTCCCAACCTCCACCCCTCCTTTATAATACCCCTATCCAATCCCGATCTTCCAGCAAGTTTCTTGGAGTTATTTTTGACTCCAAACTATCTTGGCGAAATCATATCCTTTCCATTAAAGAAAAAGCCTGCCATTGCCTCCGACTACTACAAACACTCTCTCACCTATCCTGGGGATCAGACCACAAAACACTTCTTTGTCTCCACATTACCCTAATCCTTTCCACCCTTGACTATAGTTGTCACTTATATTCTTCTGCCTCTGCCTCTCTTCTGTCTCTCCTTGATCCAACTCACCATAGGATCCTCTCCAGTTGAGAGCCTATACGCTGAATCAAGACTACCATCCCTTTCTAGACATCGTGCTCTTCTGTCCCTATGAAGCTATGCTCGCTTTCACCAATTTTCCTCTCCAAGCTAACTGTCCTTCAACCACTTCCCTATCTTCTCTTCCTCTCCACGTTTACCTGTCCCTTTCCCTGTTCGTATGGACGCTCTTCTTTCCCATTCATCCTTTCCTCATCTCTGAATTCTTTCTCTTTCTACCCAAACCTTCCCTCCCTTCATTTGATCTAACCATCCACTGCCCTTAACCCTTCCTCTTTTTATCAATACCTATCCTGCCCGATCTACCCTCTCTTTTTACTCCTTTAAATACTATATTATCATGCATTAAATGACCGTCGAAATTTAACATTTTAACTCTAATAAAGAACTTTAAAAAACCTTCCCAACACAATCCAGTACCATAGTGCATAGTGATGTCTAGCACATTTATGTTCTAGCTATTATTACTTACAACCTTTGACATCTAACATCCCTTTTTACCCTTTTCACTACAACCTTTGACATCTAACATATTTTGTCCAACTGTTAACTGATTCTTAAACTTCACATTGTCATAAAGCAGCATAACCTTTCCTTACCTGGGGGCTTTGCCCCCAAGCCTCACTCTAGTACTATATTTTGTATACACTGATAATGACTTTAGATGTTGACATGGTAGAAAATTTTCTATAAATGAATAAATAAATATTGTACATCATATAATGGCTAACAATTAATGGTTGAAACAAATAAATGCGCTAGACATCCAAGGTCATATAGCACTACTGTAAAGTATTGTGGTATACGAGTTAACCTTTACGATAAAGAGTGTTAAATGTCAGAGGTAGTATAATGGCTAAGAATTGTATATATTACAGATTTTTGTTTATTATATAAAGTATGTGAACCTGATTATCCTGGATGTGCCTAAGGCCTGTCCTGATTACAGTGGTGATATGAGTGCAGGTCCAGAGCTTCAGCCTTCAATGTTCCCCGAATATTTCCTGTAACTATGTTGCAAATATGTCACAGATCTCAGGAATGTTGAAGACACAATGTGTGTTCCACTGCTATGGCACCCAAGTTATGATATTGTACTTGGGAGTTCAAGCATTAAGCTGATTATACTTGTACAACTTCCAGTCAGTCTATGCAATGAACAAAGAATTCTAAGACTCGAAATACAACTGAGTCATTGAAACAATGCAAGTTTTGATTCCATCGGATTCGGGAGTGGAGAGAAAAAATTGTTTGAGCTCACACACACAGGAAACTAACATTTGGCCAGCTCATCAGCACTGCCTTGATTACAATTAATATACCCTAAATTTTGACATTCTTTTTGTAAATGGCCAATTTTCAAATTAATTTGATACATTATTTGTTTTAATCATGATAATCTTGGATGTTCCCATCAGTATGATGACAATGAAAATGTTACCATATCTGCTCCCCCCCCCAATTCCATGCCCATTGTTGTTGTGGGGGCTTAAGAGATGGGGACTGAGGCCCTATGTGGGGGTCACCCCTGCTTTGGGTGTCAGCCCTCGCCTCAACTAATTTTGCATGGTCTTTTTTTCTCCACCTTTCCTTTTCCTCCTTTTCATCTGTCCACATCCTAAAGTATGAGAGCCATACTGAAAGGATAAAAGACCGGCTTTGTGTCCATTCTGAACAGCCTTTATATTCTACTTGCTAATCTCTCTTTACCCTTTTCACTACTATAGTACCCTACAGCTCTCAACAACCTTTGACATGTAACATATTTTGCCATAATTGTGAACTCATTTGTACCTTTCTGTCATAATATTTTATTATAATTTTGGGTGATCTTTTCTTACCTGGAGGCTTTGTCCCTAAGCCTCACCCTATTGCTATATTTTGTAAACGACACTAATGACCTTAGATGTTGACACGGCAGAAGATGTTCAATAAATAAATAAATAAATAAATTTGATCCCATCCATATTACCCCTGTAAAGTTACCCACTCACTTCAGACATTATCATTTTACTGCTCCGTGCTACTTCAATTATATATCAGTAAAGATAGTTTCTTTAATTCCCCATTTAGGTCGCAACAGAAAGGGTAACATACCACATATGAACTTCAAACTAGTACACAGAAATGCGTTGGCCAAACTAGTGAAAATGCAGTGAGCATTTTTTCATTAAATATGGTCACCATAGATTGCTTTTTGTACGGCTTAAGTATATTTTATTACTGCAAGGTCAGTCAAACATCACATTCTTCAGTATCTTTAACATTATTGTATAATCTTTAATTTACATATGAACCAACATATCACTTGAGCAGCAGCTGCTCATTGCAACCATAATCATTATATGACGTAAAATTACACATGCCAAGATGTGGTGTGATGTTATATAAAGTATGATTAAAATACAATCATAAAAACTTATGATTAAAATACAATTTTCTATTTACTGTCCAAAATGTGTAACTATGTTACTATTTCCTATATGAAAAATATAATAACCATGACCTTGCAAAATACAGAACGGATTACACCGACTGCCACAGATTATTGAAAGGCATACTGTACCTCGTCACATAGTCTTCTCAAGATGAGTGTGCACAGCAAGACCAAGGTCCGAAGGATATGACAAAAGCTATACATTTCTTTATCATCCACTGCATTTAAAACAATGCCTGAATATATTCTTTCTGTTTGTGATCCACTAATAGCAGCCAAATGAAGATTATAAAACGATCAAATAATTTAACATGGCATGATAACAGATCTCTGTTAACCCGTAATATGTCCACATACTGTGGCTTTTCCAAACTGAGATCAGGTTCTAATTAGCAGCTCCTGAGATTTCTTAAAATTGTGTGCAAATAAAACATAAGGAATGCAAAAAAAATGCTTACCATATAATTTTTACAACCAATCTTGTGCACTTCAAAGAAGAGGTAGTATCAAGAGGTAGTCTCTGTCAGTTTTTTTTTTTTTCATAATCCTAAATGTTTGCATCCTGAAGAAAAGGCTATGATGTGATATCCCACTAGAAAATGAACTTCTTTTGCTTCTTTTTCTGCATTTCCTGTTGTAAGAACTACTGCACTTATTGCCAAAACTAAGAAGGGCTTTATCTTAAGCTAGCTGGTGCAGTCCAATGCGCTTCAGGAAACTTTTAGCCCATGTAGGATTCAACTTGACAGGTCCTCCATTCTCTTCTAATAAGTTGGGATCATATTGCATAAGCACTTGTTTGGCGGTGGCAATTGCAAGGAATGATGATACCTGGCAGAGATAAAAT